ATATCACTGCTAAATAATGTTAGCTAAGTTCACTTGAACTGATGAGTTCCTAAGCTTTTAGAAGTTAACGAGAAACCCAAAGGTCACTAATTTACAGGCTAACAGTTCAGGACAGTAGACGAGCAGGTTTGAGGAACTCGAGCTGGTATCCAAGCTTTTACATCGTCCTCACAACCAGCACGCTGTTGATCGTGAGGGTTTACATCTCTCGCACGCAACGTCCAAGAATCAAACCAACTACATGAAGTCAGAGGAGGAAAATCCACTTGTTTGAACTACTAGATGCAGCTTGAAAGCAGCACCAACCACTTTCCTGGGTGTAAGCCCAGAAAATGTTGTTTCTGAAACACTCGGCGTGAGCAGCCCATCTGACTCTGACAAACCTGCATCCAAAGTCACGAAAATCACTTCGCTTCTTAAATGTTTCTTTCTACTTCAGCAGGTCATCTAAACAACCCCTACATGGGCTGCAGCTGATTGACTGATTACACATTTATGTTAACAAGCAGTTGAACAGGTCTAATGAATCCGTCACATGACCTCCTGTTGTCATAGACACACTTCTACCACACGGTGATATTTATTAAAACATGCCAGTCTCAGATCCACCAGGGCCATCAACAATGAAACAGCTGTGAGGATCAATAAACGAACACACTGCTAAAACTGGAGCAGATTACTCCAGAACTTCCTGGACGTTGCTGTGAGCTGGAAAAATCCCAAACAAACGAACAAAAACATCCAAGAGAGAGAGAGAAGTCTGGTCACCCAACGGGAGAGACCAATTTCAGACAAGTCATCGATGCAGCAGTTCAGATGTGCACAGTAATACCATCCTGGGTAACTGCCTGTAACAAACTGAACATTTCTCTGAAACGAGCTGCGCTCATTAAGCACAATGACTTATAAAATCTGTGAATTGTATCCATCTGTTTTAAAATCTGTGAGCATAAAAAGAGCTGCTCTCTATTAACACTCGTGTGTTATAAGAAAAAGAGAATTTGACTGATTTTCTCCAGAACCGTATCGAACGATTACTGGTCTATGGATCGCTTCGATGGCACTCACTCAAATCAAACCTCTATATCTTTGAACCTCTGTCTCTGTTCTCCATACGTCTGTCTGAAATAAATGTCTCCAGCTTTATGTTCTTTAGAGGAGTGAAGCTGCTGCTCTCACTGGAGGATATTTACATTATAATTCAGACGTATGCACTGACAAACCACCATAACTCCAAAAACCCTTCTGTCTATTTATTCAGGATTACGGTGCTGCAGCCGGACCAGCTGCCTACTCAGAGGAAGGCGTATGGTACCACGTATGGTACCACGTATGGTACCACGTATGGTACCACGTATGGTACCACGTGGTTACAGCAGGCAGGAAATCAAACGAACTCACCTTCATGTTGCCCAGCCGTCTGGCTCGGTCAATCACCAGAAACTTCTTTATGAGGTCTCTGAGGAGACAAAGGAAAAGTCAGTGACAGCTTCACAGTATAG